CAAGAAGTTCTTGGATATACTGAAAAAGCTCCACATCAACATGTCATTCATCGATGCAATCAGACATATCCCGACGTATGCAAAGTTCATGAGGGACATGATATCTAAGAAAATAAAGCTTCCAAATTAGGAAGAAGTGGCATTGATGAGAGCAGTATAAGACAGCAAAATAAATTACCACCAAAACTCAAGGACCAAAGGAGTTTCACTTTACCTATTTCACTAGACAAATGATTTCATTTTAATTTTTTATGATATACAGGTGGAAGTTTTAACTTAATTCCTTTGTCTACTTTTAGAAAACTAGGAGTTGGGAAAGTCAAAGGGTCGAATGTGATGCTGCAGCTGGCAGATTGGAACATTAAATACCCATGGTGAACGGTTGAAGATGTGCTCATTTAAATTGGGAAGCTGATATTCCCAGCTAACTTCTTTGTTATGGATTTCAAAGATAACATAGATATGACAATAATCTTAGGTCGACATTTTTAAGCAGCAAGTCGAACTTTGATTGACATGGAGAAGGGTGAGCTAATTGTAAGGGTGGAGGACGCACATGCGATCTTTAAACTACATAATCCATCCAAGCAACCATTAGTCGTGGATGAGGCCAAATATGTTGCTGAAGAAGTTCAACAAAGGTCGAATGAGACATAGCCTAAAAGTCTAGGGAGCCTTGGTCAAGAGAAGAATGGAAAGTTCAAAGTCTGGAGGGAGAAAAGATGATACAAGGTTGGAAATTGTAAGGAGTGCAAGGGCTCAATACACCTATTTGAACCACCATGATTAATTTCTTCAAACAGTCTAGCTAAAAACTATAAACTAAGCAAGTAACCTAACTTCTTACCCTTTTATTTATTCTGCGTTTTGTAATTGTATTGCAGTAGATGCTAGTTTACATTAGTTATAGGCACATTTCAATTCAATTTGGGGGTCATTTTTATCATTGACACTTAGCCTAGTTAAAAGAAAACATTAATTGAGTCAAAATGAGTTGAAATAAGCATAGGGCATAAAATTGGAGTCTAGAAAAGAACTAATTTTGACTCTTTTAATTGTTTTCTTCCCCTATTAATAGGTACCATATATATAAGCATCGGAATGAGCTTAGCAACTTGCACTTTGAGATGGATTGCCAAATAGATCTTTCAACATTCAACAGCAAATTCCTAGGAATACATTCTTCATCTTCTTCCCCATTTTCTTATATTTTAGTTATGCTTTAGGACATTAAGAACAATGTCGATTTTCAGTTTGGGATGAGAAAAACTCTGAGTTTTTACTTTTTGTGTATTTTTTAGTGTTTGTTTTTCATTATTGCTTTAGTATATAATAGAAAAATACAAAAAAATAAAAAATTTAACACACACACACACACACATTCTTGTTTTAGGTCGTGCATTTGTGTAGGTTAGATAGTCTGGCTAACAATGATGATTATATTTGAGATTTGGTGTTGATTTATGAGTGGTGGATAGATTGTATTCTAGATTGATTGAAGTTTAACCTTGCAAAACTTGATATTATATGTACATTGGAATTGAGTTTGACATTGTGATGAAATAAGTTTATTCATAAGCTTGATAGGTTGATTTAGTCGAATATAGATGTTGTACTCAAACCATACAAAAATCTTTATCCTTAAAACCAAATTTAACAAAATTTATGGGTGATTTTATGGTTGTAGGGAGATACAGATATAAATTGGGATTCTATATGTGAAAATTTATGTGTGGATTGTTTGGATTGTAGACATATCCAAGAATATCGAGATGTGAGTATTTGGATTTTCTGTTGCTTTCATGAAGAATTGCAATGCATGTCGGGACATATTTATAACGTTCATCCTCAAGTGAAAATTAGCTTGCCCAAATGTTGGATAAGCTATGCTCGATTTGTTTTCTGCCACTGGTGGAACCATGTATTTCTCCATTAGTTTCTCATTCTTATAAACCGTAGCTATAATTGGATTTGCTGCATCTCATTTATCCCAACGGCCAACGGATTTTGCATATCTTTTGCTACGGATTCTTCTTGTTGTTTTTGGTGTGCTTTTATCTATTCTTTTTTTCTTGACATGTATGTTCGTTCAATTTCTGGATCAAATTGAGCAAGATCACCTTGTCTCGAAATTTTTATGCAAGATTCTGAATGTAAGAAGATAAAGCACAATAATAATGTTTTTTTAATATGAAATTAAAACCTAATTAAGTGATACAAATTTAAATTAAAGTTATAACTATCTAAAACTAATTAAATATTATAGTCCCCAACAACAATGTAAAAAAATTAATCGTCTGATTTTTCGTAACTGTACGGTATCTGGAAGTAGTAATAAAGTGATGAATTGGATGTCGTTCCCATGAGGACTATATACCCAATCTAGTGTCATTTATTGTTAACTTTAATTGAATAACAAAACTTGTTTGAAGAATTTATGCTAATTAATTAATTAAACTAACTATTCTAGAGAGCAATTTATGAGAGCTTTTGTAAAATTATGTGAGATGGTTACAAAGACCTCGAATTCTCCTTATTATTTTGTTTCAATGCAATTCAATTACATGACAATATTTACACATTCTCGTTGATCAATGTTCCTGAGTTAATTAAAAGCGTCTATCAATGTCAATTAAATCTATTCTCTCATGTGACACTCCTATAAATTTATGAAAGATGTCAAAATGAAAGCCTTCATTAAAATTTCTAGAACATCTATAAAAATCATGTAAAGTATAGTGGTATATGTTTTTCCCTCATCGGACTTTACAATGATTGTTATAACGTACTATCATCCTATTTTCTCTCAAGAGAACAATAAAATTCACACACCAATTCAATTAGTAGCTAATTCATTGAAAAGCATTAAGTTCTACAACAATCATCTAAGAATAAACACACATTAAGCGTCATATTATTGAATTTATATTAAAAGCATCATAATAAGGGTTCATCCATGTCATAGTAATTGAAACCCTAACCTAGATATGGCATATGAAGAGGATGAATCTTGAATATCGTTAATGATTTCTTGATGAATTCTAGTTTTGCCTTCCTTTCGTTGCCCAAAAACCAAGATTTGATTGCCAAATAATTGAATTCTTGCAATTTCTTGATTTTCCCAAAAGTGTGATTAATTGGCCTCACTTTGATTATTTTAATTGCTAAATTTCGTAGTACAAGAGGTCCCTTATAATGTATGATTATGTTCTGTATATATAGGGCTCGAAAATAGGTTGAAAATCGTGTCCAATATTCGTTCCAAGAAGAGTTCTAATCAAATTTGGAATTTACCACGGAATCCCCATATTTGACTTAGATGATTGCCCAGGATTAATTTTTAGCCCCTTCTTTTGTTTTTGTATGTGCGTGAGTCCTTTCTTGAAATAATGTTGATCATCCATCTTCCAATTGCATTCATGGAAAGTTGTAATTATGTCCTGAACTTTGAATTTCATCATTTCTTGCTTATTTCTTTCAATTCCACGTCCAGTCATTGCGTTTCACATAATAAACGAAATATAGAATAAATTAGGATATAATTAATCAAAAGAAATATTAAATGTCTACATTTTTTGGCCTGACTTATCATTTTGAGTCAACAATAGGAGAGTTTCTGTTGACACAGAGAATACTTTGTTATCGAATAATAAAGTGGGTAAAAAAGATCTTGATCCGTGCTTTTTTGTCTCTAATCTTCAATATCTCTGTTCCTTTGAAACTCTTGTTGGTTTTATGATATTTTGTGCCAGTCTTGTGAGTATTTAGGCTAACGAGGCGTGAAATCTTAGTAACATCGCATGCTGTTTTCAATTAACGTTTGAACCTTGTGACACTATCCATTGGCACAGTGATTTGATATGCCAAAACCATGCTGGATATTCATATATATATATACAGAAATGATCTAATAAGCATCGGTGTTCATCTTATTCTAAGCACCGATGAGTTGGCACATTAATTCATTGGTGGATAAAGATTTTGTGAGTTCCAATCCACCAATGAATTAATGTGCCAACTCATTGGTGTTTAGGATAAGATGAGCACCGGTGCTCATTAGATCATTTCTGTATAT